ACAGTAAGCAGATTAACTTGTCTTAAGCAGCAAGTTTATGAAGGAAATCGTGGGAGGCAAAGGCTGCAAAGTCAGGCAGTTGTAGCCAGATGTTACACAGAATATATAAATACTGAGGGTGCAGCCTGCTGCCTCATCTTCCCCACCCCTCTTCTAAAAATCAGTACCTCCCCCTAATCACACAGCGACACCCCTAACACATGCGCTCCTTAAGCAAAGATCCAAGAAAACCAAATTTTCTGATAAAGTGACAAAAGTGCTTACAATCATAGAAAATGCTAAAAGAAAGAAAACACAATGCATAAAATAACCTGCAAAACACTAGTGACTAGAAATACTAATTTTCAACTAGTATCTGATTATATCCTGCCAAGTTTTTGTATACAATTTCAGAGCTATTTTAACAAATTTGGTTTGAACCACTTTGAATAATGAAGTTTACTAAGTCAATAAACCAGGACAGGAAAGCAAATAGCACCAATTCTGTGCCTCCTAGGTACTGGGCAGAATTGTAGAGGTTTTGTAAACACTATTTCATTTCATCTTAATATTATTAACTTGAAATTAGTCCCCAACCTTCATACATATGAGAAAAAACTACTTGAGAGTCACTTAACTCAACACTAAAGCTAGGATGCAAATTTACCTAGAATTAATAGTTACAGCTGCTATAATCACCCAACTGTCTATGCTCAGCACCTTTTTAATAGAACCAGAAGGAAACACAGCTCTAAAAGCACCTGTTCAATTCCAAATATGCATGGCTTATATCCAAATGCCTAAATGCACTTAAAACTAGGCCAGTCCTCAGCTCAAAAAGCTATCATTAAAGTCCATCACTGAAGCTGTTGGGGTACTTGACTGCAATTCAAACACAGTCTTAAAACAAGAGGAAGGATGTTTCATACTAAAAGGATTTAAGAACAGGGCTCCTAGCACCAGCTTAGGTTGGCAGATTCTATTTTGATGTCTGGATCCCAGGAAGGCAAGCTACAGGGAAAAAGACCACATTCTTCTAATCTCCTCCCCTGCTGTAGTAGGACAGATTACTTCCGACCTTCATTCATTTACTGGGCAATAACTAGACTTCTGTACTCTGTCAGAGGCAACTGCTAGAATCAAGGCTGCTCACAGTCTAATAATTTAACAAGCTATTGAATAAAATCCATACTCCTAGAATGGGTTCTTCTCTCTATAGATGTAGAAATCAAGATAACCTTTAGAAAAGCCAAAATGAGTCACACAATCCAAGTTCTAATGCCCAAGCCCTTTATTAATCAGCTAATCATTCTGAAGCTCACCTATGTACTTGGCTTTATTTTGTACACATTATCAACAGATTTGATTTTTGAGCACATATCCTAAATGGACCATTTCCTAGCTTAATACCTTTAGGCAAGTTACTTCACCTATCAGAGCCTTGGTTTACTTAGTGAATAAATTAGGATAACCAGCAATACTTAAAGACTGTTGTAAGGATTAGAGATAATAATGTATGCATGACCACAAAGCCTGGCATTTAGAAGTACAATAAATATTGCTAACATATTTATAGGATTTACAAACTAAAAACAAATTGATCACAAAAACCAAATTAGAAATAATGAGGGTTGGAGGAGATGAGACTAAAGACAGATCTAAGAATAACTAGTGGACAGAAAGGGAAGAGTCTAGAAAGCTACATTGATATAAAAACTCAGAAGCGTCAGGCTGGAACCACCAGCCTACACACTTCAGAGTTGAGAGCATCACCAATGTTTTCACAAGAAGTAACAATGATGAGCCAGAAGATGACGTTAAGCCTTTAAAGTAGATTAAACTTTTATTTCATGTATTTTTTTAAAAAAGACAGATAAGCATGTAATTGACTTGGAAAATTCCTATCAAAGTGATGTAGCATCACAAATTTAACATTTGACATGCCCAAACTTTAATTAACTGCAAAACTCTAACAACAAGCTTCTGCTAGACTTAATGTGCAAAGGACCCTCTCAAATTCCAGAAGCAAATTTTCTACTCAACACTGAAAAAGATGTATTTCAAACAAATGGACTGTGCGCTGTTTCAATGCAATGACCTAAGACATCATCACAGCTAAAACAAGATAAAGTTTGGTCTCCATCACTGCTAAATGTTTTTGTATCTACCAAGGAAACACAAACACTTCCCATGGAGATGTCTTTTCACTTGAATTTTCTCCCTAGTTTGGAAGGCAATAAAATGTGAAAAAATCTGCTCCTGAGCTGACAACCCTCATTCTATGGCTTAAAAATAAAAGATGTTTATGGAAGCTTATAGATATAACGATCACCTGCTTCAAAGGCAGCTGGCAATCAATTGATCCAAAGAGAAGCAAAATTAAGGCAAAAAAACAATTTCCCTAAGGAGAATGCTAGTGCTCCCCAGGCTTCTGGTAATTTCCAAGACACCCATAAAATAGCAGAAAATGGTAAAGAACCAAATGTGATGGCAGATGACAAGAAAACAGACAACAGCTGAGAATCAGGTTCCTGTGTCAATGTGGATTCACTTTCCCACCATAAGAATGGTTTCCATGAGGGTGACCTAGAGAAACTCTGGTTCACCCTTCAATCCAGCTCAAGGAAGGCCAGACAATCAGCAATTAAATGAAATCACCTTCTTAAAAATAGGAACTGGAAAATTTCGTAAGTCCTTAAATTCTATAATATTTTTTTAAAACAGTTTTTACTCCATATGTTCTCTTACAGTGTTGAAATCCAATAACGAGCAATAAGTGAGGACACTGAGACTGGCATCAGGAGACTCAGCTTCTATTTCTGGTTCTGCCTCTGAACGAATCACTGTGACCTTGAGAAAGTTATTTCATCCCATTACCTCCACTTCCCCCACCAGTTACAAGATTGGATTAAACCTACCAATTTTTTTTTTTAATAAAGAAAGTGACTGTGTCTACTGGTCACTGACCAGCTATATCCCACCCTCCAATACAAAGTGGCGCCCATATTAAAACAATGAACTCTGCACATTTACTCTACATAGTAAAAAAAAAAAAGTTCTTCCTGGAGAAGTCAACAAACCCAGATACTTCCTGAACAGAGCCCCAAAATTTCAAATCTGGAGATAATCAGCAAATTAAGATATAATGAAAGCTACAAGAATACACCTTTTTCTCAAGGAAAACAAAACGTCAGGCCCTATGATCTTCAGGACTCTAATCAATCTTGCTGTGAAGTCCTCTTCCCTCAGCCCCCCTGCCAAGGAGGTAGGTCTCTGTACACTTGATGCTCCCCCAGCATGTACTGGTTATCTCTCTGTGTTCCTGTTCACTTAGGAAGCTGTGCAAAGGCAGAACCACGACTTGGTGATCTTAAATATCTCTGACCACCTAGCATATTGCCTGGCACAATGTGGCTTCCCAGTATATCTATATGAATGTACCTATACCTATATATTTGTTAAATGAATGAAATGAATATATATCCAAAGTCTAGTGCTACAGGGAAGAGCAACCATTAATATTAATGAATTATAGTCTTAATTACAGTGACATTTCCATTTTTAGAAAAATATATATAAATATTACCTAGAAATGGAAATACATTTCTTACCAACATTGAATGCACAAAAATTAATTCAAAAACTTTCCAATCTTCTTCTTTCAAAAATGGTCTTTGTTGGGGTTTTATGTTTATTTTTGTTTTTTATTTCTTCACAATTTATCTAATGAGGATCAGAAAATAAACATTTCTTTTCACTTACCCTGTACAATAAAGGAAAGGGAGGAGAGGTTAAAAAAAAAAGAGAGAAAGAGAGCAAGCATGTAAAATAAATAGAAGAGGCTACTCTTAAGTTAAGCATCTACGAATGTAAAATAAAAGCCCATAGATGAAAATTAAAATGTGGTCAATAAAAGTTAACGCCACAACGCTTACAGCATTCAGCTAACTAAATAGCCATGTTCATTGAGAAATGTGTCAAGTGCTTTATAGACAACCTCTCTATGAAAGTAATATAAGATTTTAAGCTGTTCAAATTACATTTGAGTATGTTAATCATTCAAGTATTTACCACAAATATACCACTCCTTGCGTAAGTTTTTATTTTTTACCTACTGTCTAAATTCTTACACTATTTCATTTCATAATTAAGTTGGTAAACATGAAACAAACTGGCACTCTACCTGAGAGTGCTTAAGAAGTCCTAGGGATCCATAAGCCTATAAACAAAGATAAACTCATTACACTATTTGATACTTACCACAGGAAAACACCTTTTGCTGGTCTTTATGGTGCCTGTCAGAGTCTCTAACAGAGGTCTAAGTTGCATCACCCTCCACTTTGAGCCCTCTCACCTTCACTATCCTCCAAGCTATACCGTGTTTTGGTTGGACCATGAAACCAAATGAAAATTATTGCTACTATTCTATTTCATTACTTATTTATTTTCTAATAGCATGTATCAGATTATGTTGCATCAACAACCATATAACTTCTCTTAAGTAGTCTACCCAGATAGAAACTACCTATTACTATTATATCCATCCATATCTGTACATACATTAAAGCAGTCGGAGATCACCTTTGGTTAGTGCTATAATTAAAGATTTCGTTTCCAACACTGACTCTTGTCAAAGGACCATGCATAATTTTGTTCTTTTTAACGCTGTGGGGATGAGGAAGGACAGAGAATGACAGCTTGCTAAGGATGCAAAAAGGGAGTTCACCTGCCTGGCCTGACCCTGGACATAGAGATCAGTGGATGTTTGCAAAACTGGACAGAATAGCCCTTTCTTGAAATGACTTAGGACAGACATGACTAAGTTGTCCCTTTTTAGACCGTTTACATTAATAGAAATTTCGATAAGAGGGTGGGCAGAGACCGACTTAAACGGATTGCCTCCAAAGAAGGGAGAGGCCACCAGCAGGTCACAGCTTTTCAGAGCCTGGGAGGGCGGGCGGCAGGAAAGGCCCTGATTGGCAGGCGACCTGCACCGGAGGCGGGTGGTGGGGCGCACTCACCTGTGAAAACGTTCCAGTCCCCGGAGCTGCTAAGGCCGCCAGAGAGGACGCCGTCCACCTGGTGCTTCTTGGCAGGAGCGACTGAGGGGGCGAGGGCCGCTCTGGGGCCCCGCAGGGCGGACTCAAGGCGCCGCTTGATCCTGGGGCTCTGGCTGGGGGACTGAGACGGGGAGTGGTTGGGGGAGCTGAGCTGCCGAGTGGTGGTCTTGATGTAGCAGGGGGTGATGAGCGGGTAGGGCTTGAAGCAGCGCGGGCTAGGCGCGGGGCTGCCGGGCAGGGAGGCGGCCGCGAGGGCGCCAGGGGCTCTCTCCCCGTCGTCGGGCTCTGCGTCCAGCCTCTGCGGGGCCGCTCCTGCCTCCAGGCCCCACTCCTCGCCGGGAGAGCCTCGCGGGGCGTCCTCGAAAGCGTCCTCCTCGCCTTCCTCATCCGTGTCCCCACCCCCTGGCGCGGGGACCCTAGCCGCGCCCAGCCCCGGGCCAGGCTCGGGAAACGGGAAGGCGGTGGGCCAGGGAGCGACGCCGTCCGCGCGCTGGGCCTCGGGCAGGCCGGGCGCTTCCGAGGCGGTGCCGGCTCCGGGGGTCGGCGGCTCGGGCACCGGGGGCTCGGGCGCCGCGCTCTCGGGCAGGTCGGAAAGTGCGGACAGCGCCGGCTCGGTGTCCGGACTGCCGCGCGCTTCCGCGGCCGCGCCGCTCGGCCTCAGCAGTAGCGGGTCCAGGCCCAGGAAGGCCCCGGGCTGGGGGGAGGTGGCGGGGAGCGCTGCGGACTGCTCGGGTCCCTGGTGCTGCTGCTGCTGAAGGTGGAGCTCCTGCTGCAGGCGGATCGCCTGCTGGATGTCTGAGAGCAAATCCTCTTGCTCTGTAGCCGAGTGAAAGCTGTAGATGTCCGTGTCGGAGCCCGAACTGGTCCTTTGTCCATCCTGTGCGCCGGCCGCAGTTTCCAAATCCTCGGCGACCACCCTGCCCCCGACCGCAGGCTCTGCTGGCCCAGGACCACCTGGACGGGTCACCTCAAATGGGTGGGCACACTCGGTATCCGACAGGCTGAGGTCCGGGGTCTTGGTGACCAGGGAGTGAGCGCTGTCCAGCTCCTCGGTCTGCAAGGCCTGGGAGTCCAGCACATCCTCGCGGGAGCCCCCGGCTCCCTTCCCCTTGGACAGGTTCTTCCTGATCCGCAGGTTGGAAAACACCGAGGCTCTGGAGTCCGACTTGCTCTTCCTCTTGCCCGGCTCCGCGCCGCCGCCCCCTCCCCCCTTTCCATGCTTGCCCGGCGCCTTCCTGTCCCCGCTCCCCTTCTTTGTGGCGTCCACCTCTCTGGGCCCAGCAGCATCCTCGGTGGCGCTGCCTTCGTGGGAGGCATCACCTGCGCTCCTCTTCAGCTTCCCATCCTGGTTCCCCATGTTGCGATCCCGCCGCTGCGCCGCCGCCCCTCCGGCACTCAGGCCATTCCGCCGTCCTCGCCCCCGGCCCGGGCGGAGGAGACTCCCGGGCCAGACAGGCGGCGAGGCGAGCCGCTGGGAGAGGAGGCAGCCGCGCGCCCCGCCGGCCCGCCTGGCACCTGCCGCCGCTGAGCACAATGCGCGGCTCCCGCGGCTGAGGCTGCGGCCCTGGCCCGGCCGGGCGCGAACATGCTCAGTGCGGCGCGCTGCGCCCGCCAATGGATGCGCGGGATGCAGCCCGACGCCGGCTCCCCGCCCGCCACCCCCTCCGCCTGCGCCCGGCTCTTCGCTGAAGCTGGGCGCGAAAAAGATTTCCTCTATCTGAGCGACTTTAATCTCTACCGTGCAAATCGAATGCATTGTTCCCGCCGAAAAACTCCGAGGCTGGAAGATGCACTCCGAACTCAAAGCTCAGGTACCTGCCAGGAGAAAAGTTTAAAAAAGAAAAGTTTAAATTGGGTAAAAATGAAGCCAAACTCCAGTTCAGAGGTGCTTTAGTATCAAGACCCCAAGCTGCGTGCAGAAGCATGGCTCTTCAATAAATATTTGTTGAATGGATTGTTCTTTAATAATTAATCACCGTTAACACTGTTCATGTCTTGAGCACATAGTTTTAGGAAGGGTTACTACACTTAGCTCTGCTTTCGTACTTCATGCATACCTTGCTTTTGTAGGAGAGAATACTAGCTGTCATTTCAGAAATTCATTTTTCAAACTTTTTTTGACAAAATGGTGAGGTGGGAGACTCAGAAAATACTAAGAGATTGGAACTGATTAAAATGCTAATCTCCAGAAGTCTGTGTGTTTACCATATAAATCAAACAGCATTTGTATTCAAAATGAGTACATATACTATAACTCCCAGGAGGTCAAACTCATCAATATTAAACATATCCCTACTGTTGCCTATAAAAAAGGAAAAAGACAAAAAGGAAACACCCTTGGCACAAACACATGAAATCAGATGTCATGGTGTAAACCACCGCTTTCCCAAGCAAACCCTTCAAGGCAAACTTTGTCCTTGCCTCTATTATAAAAATTTGCAAGTTTACTGTAATGTAGGTTCTTAACATTCTGACTTCAATATTAATATAAAAATTCCCCCTCGTTGTAAATCCTGTCTCTATTTTAGTTACTTAAGAAATTTAATTACCGGCATTAAAAGAGCATATTTAAAAAAGCATCACTGATACCTAAAGAAGCTCCAAAAAGTAAACAACAATTAAAGTGACATTAATCGATAATATTACAAATATTTAAGTTACTTCATCGTTAAACACTTTGAAAATATGGAATAGCTGCCCAACATGTATTTTCAAAGCCCAAAAGGAAAAAAGGGCTGCATGCTATTTAAAGCAAATTAAATGTAACAAGCAAATGTTCCTTCACAATTTGTGAACCAATTTTAAACCTCCTTCCTTAGGCATTCTTATCCAAGTTTTAAAAATATGGCTGTGTAAGTCTTTGATGTAAAAGCTTATGTGGCAATTAATTACTAGTCTTTTTCAAATTATGTTCTTAAAAAGATGATTAAGTGAAGGGCAGGTGGCCAATTGTCTTTAGGTCCATTTGAGAAAGTGGGCAATGACTTGCTTGCACATTATGCAACAAATGCCCTGAACTTCTGCTCTCCACACAGAAATTAAGAGAAAGTTGTTTGGATCAGAAATGAATCCAAAGGAAGTTTGAAACTCACATCTCTTACTGCAGATCTTTCCAGAGAATTTCCCTCAGGTAATTTATACTTCATTGGAAAATGGCTGTTTGCCATTTCAGTTTTGCAACACAAAGTGGTAGTTTGAGCAAGGAGCTTTACATCTGTTTCATTTTCCTCTGAAGAGAGGGAAAAGGCTGGTGGGAGAGTTGATTCCACTCACCTGTGTTGGAGCTTCAGCAGTATGAACGTGATCTCAGGGCGCTTGAAGGGGAAGGGACAAATTTCACCCTTGACAACACATAACTCATTTTTCTCATTCGAGTAGAGAAATGGATGTCACCAGTTTCAGGGCAAAGTGATTACACTACTTGCTTACTGGGAATTAATTTATCAGTATCTACTACAACACTTTAAATACTTCCTCCCTCAGAAACTAGGAAGGCAAGACAAAATACTGATTTGGAAGTCTCCCTTTCCTTGATTTAATATTGCATTAAAGATTGCTAGGGCTTTTTAGTGCTTTAGCATTCATTTAGCCTTCTAGATGCTTCATAGCCAATGAAACATTTTCTAGGCATTACTTCCTGTGCCCCACTAAAGCTCCTGGAACTTCATTTAAGGCAGATGTATATGTAAGACTGAAACACAACAAAAAATAGCTGAGCAGTTGAGCAGTTTCCTTTACAATTTAAAATGCTCCTTCTTCGGACTTTTTAGAGTGGTTAAATCTGAGGTGTCTAGAGATGGATATGCTAACTTGTCTCCATCAAGACAATAGCTTTATGAGTCTGAGGCAAAGTTAGAGAGCTTCCAAGTGGATCAATTTCAGCTGCAAGACTGAAGTGGGGTAAGTAGAGCCTGACTGTGTGTACCCAGCAGCCCGCTGGCGCATGATATGTGTTAACTCTCACAAAGTGGCAGCTCCCTACCATATTTAAGGAACTTGAAAGTGGTCTTGGAAGTTATTGCTCCAAGTCTTACTGCTGATGTCATTTTGTTTTTTACTTTTAATTACATTAAATTAATTTTTCCAGGTTAATCGAGATATAATTGGCAGACAACACGGGATAAGTTTGTGTTCAGCATAGTGACTTGACATACATATACATTGTGAAATGCTTACCACAGTAAGTTTGGTTAACATGTCACCTGAGATAGTTACAAAGAAAAGTCTTTTTTCCTTGTGATGTACTGCTGGTATTGTTAACGATTCACTTAAGTGCTAGTACACTAGCAGGTAGGTCTATAATGGTGATTATAGCAGCCTTGCTCTCTGCTTTCAGGCAACTTACAGTGTAAGGGGTGAGGCTAGACAGACTAAAGTCTTTTTTCCTTGTGATGTACTGCTGGTATTGTTAACGATTCACTTAAGTGCTAGTACACTAGCAGGTAGGTCTATAATGGTGATTATAGCAGCCTTGCTCTCTGCTTTCAGGCAACTTACAGTGTAAGGGGTGAGGCTAGACAGACAATGATCAAGTCGGTAACTACATAATCATGAAGTGTGATCAAAGCTTGAGGATTAAGGACAGGCACTCTAATAATCCAACTAATGTACTTTAAAGTGGGTAGTCAGGGAAGGTCTCTCCAAGGGCTTGCTATTCAAACAGAGGTTGAGAACGATTCAAGCAAGGAAAATGTATGAGACAAGTCTTAGAGCAGAGGAAAAAGTGTGAATCAAGCCTTGGAAGCTGCATAGTTTGGTAAAAGTAACTAGTATGGTAGTTCTAGTGCTCAGAATCTATGACCCTATTTTCACAGCATTTAAGTTCCTGGGGAGCCTCTTAATATTTATATTTTCATTTATCTGTCACCTATTTCAACATAACAGAATGGAGTATTAATTGTTTAATATATTTTAAGAACTATCTGATCCTTTCAATTATTTATGTAACTAGTATATAAGCCAGACAATGGTGTGGACTGGGGAAACAGAAATGAATGGAATCCCACTGCGTGTACTTCAAACTGAACAGGTGGTTTCCTCCTCTCATAAGCCTCCTCCCCACTGTGATTCTGATAGATGGCCAGCCTCTGTCCTTTTCCTGTCCTGAAACACACGGCCTGGGTAATTTGGGACACACAACTTAATATTTCTGAGGTTCAATTCTTCTATCTGTAAAATAAGCATAATAGCAGCTACTTTATAAGATCTTGAAAGAATTTAATTAAACCACATATGCAAATGGCCTAGCACATATTAGGAGCTCAGTAAATGTTGGACAAAGGAAATAAGAGCCAGTTATGTAATCCAAATGTTTCCAGGCCTCTCCCAGCCAAGGTATCCTAGAAACGCAGAAAGGCAGACTTGTAAATTCACCAAGACTGAGGGTGCTGCCAGGCATGAGAAGCTGGACATTCTCAAGTTTTGTTGCTGGGTGGTCTGAACTGTCATCATCCTGTCAACAAAGAGCCTCTACTTATGCCACCCTCAGATGAGTGCCAAGGGGTGAATGTTTCTCTGATTGGCCCAGGGTTTTCCTGACCCTACATGCTATACTTATCCCCTGATTTTCAGTGGATTAGGAGAGACTGAGCCATGAGTTACTGTGCCTAGGATTCCTAACCAGAGATTCCCACTCTGTGAAGCTTTGAGTCCACTTCAGGGAGAGAATGCTTACCAAAAATTCCCAAATATCCCCAAGGGCAGATAGGAGTCCATCCTGGTAACCTAGATCTGACTATGTCTGGAAGGTTCCTCAGAATACATTTTCTGAGCTAGAATACATTTTCATGATCTAACAGTAAAAATTAATAGTTTCAGTGAATTGATAAAAATCATGGTATATCCATACAATGAAATATTATTTGGCAATAAAAATAAAGAACTACTAATACATGTTAACATGTGGATTAACCACAAAAATACTATGCTCAGCAAAAGAGCCATACCAAAACAAAACCACATTTCTTATGACTTCATTTGTAAGAAATGCCCAGAAGAGACAATTCTATAGAGACAGAAAATAGATTAGCAGTTGCCTGCAACAGAGGGTAGGAATGGGGAGTGACCATAAGCAATCATGAGTTTTATTTTGGGGGGTGGGAATAGAAAAGTTTCGCAATGAGATTGTGGTGATGGTTACACAGTTCTGTAGATACACTAAGATATCACTGAATTCACACAAGTGAATTTATGGTGTATAAATTATACTTCTACAAAACCATTAATAAAAAAATTAATTAAAGGGAATTTAGGCATACCTCAGAGATAGGCAGGTTCAGTTCCAGACCACCACAATAAAGTGAGTCAAATGAATTGTTTGGTTTGCCAGAGCATCTAAAAGTTATGTTTACACTATGCTGTAGTCTATTAAGTGTGCAATAATGTTATATCTTTAAAAAATGTGCACACCTTAATTAAAAAATGCTAACCATCATCTGAGCTTTCAGCGAACCATAGTCAGACTTGTAATCGCAGATCATACAACAAAATCATAGTAACAAAAAGGTTTGAAATATTGTAAGAATTACCAGAATATTACATAGGGAGCTAAAGTGAGCAAATACTGTTGGAAAAATGGCATCAAC